ACACGGATCAATCCATGACCGCGTTTGCAATGGGCAACAGCAGTGGCTGTTTTCTAGAGAGAAAAAAAATAGACAGCAACAAACAATTAAATGGGTTATTTCGTAAATTATTCAAACTGTAGAGTATTGGCAAATAATTCCAGAATAACAAAGTCAATGTATGCATCATCGTAAGGAAATTTCAAGATATTCACATCAAATGGGACAATAATCTCAGTGACATAACCTAAAAATTAACAATTTCTTTCGAAATTCACAATGTGGTCTTTTTTTATTTATCACTTTAATTTAACACGTGGTCAAACACAATAAATTCATTTTAATTTCTTTTTATGTCATTGCAATTATTGAGCACTGGTTCATATGGGAACCACATTGATGGTATCTAGTCACAATCAACGATTTCCACGTGTATACACACATTGTATTGCAAAACGCATTCATGACTTTATATTCCGAAGCAAAACTAAAAAATACGAATTATTCCGATGGCTCACCTTTTTGCCAAAGACTTGCACAGCTTGCAAAGGTTCTCTTTTCTAAAAATGAACAGAAAAAACACATTGTTACACACATATTTTGGTCACAAAAATTATACACTTTCTGAGAGTCATACCTTTTGCTGCATATTTAGTTGGCTGTCGAACGAGAAAGAAAGAAACCAATTTCAATGCTAAAGCTTCACTCACATAAAACCGCTCATCTGTCAAAAGTCAAGCCGATGACTGTGTCAACGCCATCTATTGACAAAATTCATCCTTTCTACCAATTCAATTTTTCTGCAATATTTTTGAAAATAATCAAGTAATTGTGATTTTCGGATGTTTTTTCTTGTGTTATTTGAATGCATCGAAATCAATTCATGACTATGTAAATGCAGGAAGATTGCATTTTTGCTTTTAATTTCAATAAGACTGTGATATTTGAATATCCGTGCCAGCTTCTTAGGATCAATTTCAAAAAAATATCCATTTCTATTGATAACAAAACGACAATTTCAATTATTTGAAGAATGTAATTTGCACTGTTTATTTCAAAAGAACAATGATTGTGATTGGGAATAAAACACTATCACGCAGTGATATTGTTGGGAAAAACCATGCAAACGAAAAACCATCCATAGTTGCTGTTTTAACGGTATGATTTTTGATAACGAGCACGAGCGCCTGGACCGCCGAATTTCTTTGGTTCGCAACGACGTGGATCGCCAACCAACAATGTACGATCGTATTGGATGAGGATGTCCTTCAATTCTTTCTTTGATGCTTCATCAACATCTGTAAATGGAAAGAAAAGCGAAAATCAAACAATTATTCACGTGTTTACATTGACTTCTTTGGTAAAGTTTTAAAAAAAATCAACAAAAAAGATGATTTCAATGTGAAAAATGTCGAGGATCGTCACCCGAATTATTTATTATTTCAAATAAACGGTTGGTA